AACCGCCTCAAAAACTGCCCCAAAAATGGCCCCAAAAACACCCCCAAAATCACCTCAAAAACCGCCCCAAATCACCCCAAAACCTGCATCAGAAACTGCCCCAAATCACCCCCAAAAATCGCCTCTAAAACTGCTCCAAATCACCCCAAAAACTGCCCCAAAACTGCCCGAAATCACCCCAAAAACCGCCTCAAAAACCACCCCAAATCACCCCAAAAACGGCCCCAAAACTGCCCCAAATCACCCCAAAATTCACCCCAGAGCTGCCCCAATTTGCCCAAAATGGTCCCAATTCACCCCAAAACCCCCCAGGATTTGGGGACCCCCCGGGCCCGCCGGCTCCTCGCGGGTTTGGGGTGAGAAATTTGGGTTTAAAGGAGAAATTTTGGGGATTTTGGAGCTTTTTTGGGGGTTTGGGAACCCCGAAAATTCCGGAACTTTCCCAGGATTTTGGGGATCCCGATTTTGGGGCAATAAAGTCGAGTTTAAGGTGGAAAAATTTGATTTTTTGGTGTTTTTTATGGAGGAAAAAGGGAGGGAAAGGCGCTCCAGGAACCCCGAAATTTTGGGATTCACCCCCAGAATTTGGGGATTCACCCCCAGGAATTTGGGGACCCCAATTTTGGAAGGTTTGGGGTTGGTTTGTTCAACCAAACAAAATTTGGGGTGGAATTTGGGGTTTTTGGGGTGAAATTTGCGGTTTTTGGGGTGGAATTTGAGGTTTTTGGGGTGGAATTTGGGGTTTATTTGGGGATTTTTGGGGTCAAATTTGGGGTTTTTGGGATGAAAGGGAGATTCCAGGAGGAGGGAGACCAAAGAAACAACCCCAAAATTGATCAATTTTAACATTTTTTATTGATAAAAATCCATTTATTGCTACAAAAAACACAAAAACCCTGGGGGGATTTCGGGGTCCCTGCTTCGATTTTTGGCCTTTCTGGGGGATTTTTGGGTGATTTTCCCGAGATTTTGGGGTTCCCTGTTCCCGAGGGGATCCAAAAATTCCCTTTTTTTGGGCTTCCTGCTGGGATTTTTGCCGGTTTTGGCGGAATTTTTTGACATTTATTCGCAGAATTTTTACTCTTTTTGGTGTTTTTTTTGCCATTTTTGGGGGAGTTTCGCCGTTTTCAGCGGAATTTTCACAATTTTTAGCCGAATTTTCACTGGTTTTAGCCGAATTTTTGCCACTTTTGGTGGAATTTTCTCAGTTTTCAGCCGAATTTTCTCAATTTTCAGTGGAATTTTCTCCGTTTTTCTCGTGATTTTCTCTGTTTTCAGCAGAGTTTCCCCCGTTTTCAGCCGAATTTTCTCCGTTTTCAGCCGAATTTTCTCCGTTTTCAGCCGAATTTTCTCCGTTTTCAGCCGAATTTTCTCCGTTTTCAGCCGAGTTTCCCCCGTTTTCCTGTAATTTTCTCCGTTTTCAGCCGAATTTTCACTGTTTTCAGCCAAATTTTCTCCGTTTTCAGCCGAATTTTCTGCGTTTTCCCCCGAATTTTCTCCGTTTTCAGCCGAGTTTCCCCCGTTTTCCTGTGATTTTCTCCGTTTTCAGCCGAATTTTCTGCGTTTTTCCCAGAATTTTCTCCGTTTTCAGCCGAATTTTCACTATTTTCAGCCGAATTTTCTCCGTTTTCAGCGGAATTTTCTCCGTTTTCCCCGTAATTTTCTCCGTTTTCAGCCGAATTTTCTCCATTTTTCCCAGAATTTTCTGCGTTTTCCCGTGCTTCTCTCGTTTTGCCCACCGCTGACGGCAGGCAGCGGGGCTGCCGGCTCACACGAAGGCGATGCGGCCGCGCGCGGCGCTCACCTGCAGCACGCCCAGCGCCTCGTACTCGGCCAGCGCGGCGCTCGCCTGCGCGGGGGTGAAGCCGCGCGCCGCCAGCGCCTCCAGCGCGCGGGGGAGGGGCACCCCGCGCCCCCCCGGCCCCCCTAGCTCCCGCAGGACCCCGAAAATCGCCTCCGACGGCCGCGGGCACCTGCCGGGAGACACAGCCCTCAGCATTCCCAGAAATGCCCGAAATCCCGGGGTTCCGGCTTCAACCGAAATCCCGGAGTTCCAGCTTCAACCGAAATCCCAGAATTCCGGTTTCAACCGAAATCCTGGAATTTCAGCTTCAACCGAAATCCTGGAATTTCAGCTTCAACCGAAATCCCGGAGTTCCGGCTTCAACCGAAATCCCGGAGTTCCGGCTTCAACCGAAATCCCGGAGTTCCGGCTTCAACCGAAATCCTGGAATTTCAGCTTCAACCAAAATCCCGGAATTCCGGCTTCAACCGAAATCCCGGAATTTCAGTTTCAACCCAAAATCCCAGAATTCCAGCTTCAACCGAAATCCTGAATTTTCAGCTTCAACCGAAATCCCGGAATTCCAGCTTCAACCGAAATCCCGGAGTTCCGGCTTCAACCAAAATCCCAGAATTTCGGTTTCAACCGAAATCCCGGAATTCCAGCTTCAACCAAAATCCCGGAGTTCTGGCTTCAACCAAAATCCCGGAATTTCAGTCTCAACCGAAATCCCGGAGTTCCGCCGTTTTCACCCAGAATTCCCTGGAGTTTCCGGTGTTCCGGGACACCCTCCCGGAATTCCGACCCCCCCCCGCGATGTTCCCAGTTGGCAAAGTCCCCAAAATTCCCAGAATTGTCCCAAGTTTTTTTCGTTTTCCCCCCGAATTCCCGAAGGTGTGGAGGGATTCCTGAGATTTCCCCGAAATTCCAAACCCTCTCTGTGTTCCTAAAAATCCCAAAAATTCCCAAAAAAACCCCAAATTCCCCGTGTTCCCAGCAACCCAGACATCCCCAGCATTCCCAAAATTCCGGGATTTTCCCAAAATTTGGGATTTTCCCACCTGGGGGAGGGGTCAGTGTCCCCCTCAGGGATTCCCAGGGTCCCAAATATCCCCAAAAATCCCAAATATTCCCCCAAAAATCCCCAAATTCCCCCCGTTCCCAGCAACCCAAAGGTGCCCAGCATTCCCAAAATTCCGGGTTTTCCCGGAATCCGGGTTTTTCACCTCGGGGAGGGGTCGGGGTCCCCCCGCAGCGAGTCCCGGGCGGCCTCGAGCAGCCTCAGCGCCTCGCTGACGTCGTCCTTCTCCACCACGGCGCCCAGGCGCAGCCGGGCCTGCCAGGGAGCCAAAACCGCCCAAAATCAGCCCAAAACCGGCACAAAATCCTGCCCCAAAAACCCCCAAAACCGCCATTAACTGTGGGACAGCGCCTGGAACGGGGGGAAAAACCGGGATTTTGGGAAAAAGGGGGAAAATGGGAATTCAGGGCGCCTGGAATGGGGCAAAACACCGGGATTTTGGGAAAAAGGGGGACATTAACTGTGGGACAGCGCCTGGAACGGGGGGAAAAACCGGGATTTTGGGAAAAAGGGGGAAAATGGGAATTCAGGGCGCCTGGAATGGGGCAAAACACCGGGATTTTGGGAAAAATGGGAAATGAACTGTGGGATAACGCCTGGAACGGGGGAAAAAAACGGGATTTTGGGAAAAATGGGGAAATTAAACTGGAACGGCGGCTGGAACGGGGCAAAACACCGGGATTTTGGGAAAAATGGGAAATGAACTGTGGGACAGCGCCTGGAACGGGGGGAAAACACCGGGATTTTGGGAAAAACTGGGAATGAACTGTGGAACAGCGCCTGGAACGGGGGAAAACACCGGGATTTTGGGAAAAATGGGAATTATGGAATGGCTGGGATGGGGGGAAAACGGGGATTTTGGGAAAAATCCATGGATTTGGGGGATTTTGGAAAAAATCCACGGCTTTGGGAAAAGTGGGAATTCTGGGGGGGAACAGGGGAGGTTAGTGGAGAAAAGGGCAAAATTTTGGGGAAAAATGGGGAAATTTGGGGTGAGAAAAGGGAAATTTGGGGGAAAAAGCAGCGAGATGTGGAAGGGAAAATGAATTTTTCAGGGAAAATTTGGGGCTAAAAAAGCAGAATTTGGGGCGAAGGAGGGAATTTAGGGAAAAAAGGGGAATTTAGGGAAAAGGGGAAAAATGGGAAAAGTGGGAGTTATGGGGGCCTGGAACGGGGCGAAACACCGGGATTTTGGGAAAAATGGGAATTATGGAATGGCTGGGATGGGGGGAAAACGGGGATTTTGGGAAAAATCCACGGCTTTGGGAAAAGTGGGAATTCTGGGGGGGAACAGGGGAGGTTAGTGGAGAAAAGGGCAAAATTTTGGGGAAAAATGGGGAAATTTGGGGTGAGAAAAGGGAAATTTGGGGGAAAAAGCAGCGATATGTGGGGGGGGAAATTGAATTTTTCAGGGAAAATTTGGGGCTAAAAAAGCAGAATTTGGGGCGAAGGAGGGAATTTAGGGAAAAAAGGGGAATTTAGGGAAAAGAGGGGAATTTTGGGGGGGAAAAGGGGAATTTTGGGCTCCCACCCACCTCATGAGTTTCATGTCCAGGGGCTGGAAGGCGCTGGGCGGCTCCCGGCAGTGCTGGTGCACGTAGGTGATGTGCTGGGCCAGCCTGGAAAATGGGGAAAAAACGGGGGAATTTGGGAAAATTGGGGTTTTTGGAAACTGGGGGGCCCCTCCCAGTTCAGCCCAGTTTGTCCCAGTTCAGCCCAGTGGAACTGGAGAGGATGGGGGAGGTGTTGGGTTGGGTGGGGAGGGAAAAAATGGGAATTTTGGGGTGAAAAATGGGAAATTTGGGGTGAAAAATTCCCATTTTTGGGAATTTTGGGATTTTTGAGAAGTGGGGGGGTCCCTCCCAGTTCCTCCCAGTTTGTCCCAGTTCAGCCCAGTGGAACAAAAGGGGATGGGGGAGGTGATGTGCTGGGCCAGCCTGGAATGGGGAAAAAACGGGGGAATTTGGGAAAATTGAGGAGGAAATCTGGGAGTTTTGGGGCCCCTCCCACTGCCCCAAGCCCCTCCCAAGATCCAAACTTGACCCAAAGACTCCTCCATTGACCCAAAGACTCTCCCATTGATCCCAAACCCAACGCAACTCAACCCAAAGACTCTTCCATTGACCCAGACTCTCCCATTGATCCCAAACTCAACCCAACCCAACCCAACCCAACCCAACAACTCCCATTGACACAAAGATTCTCCATTGATCCCAAATTCAACCCAAAGACTTTTCCATTGACACAATGACTCTCCCATTGGTCCCAAACTCAACCCAACTCAACCCGAAGACTCTTCCATTGACCCAAAGACTTCCATTGATCCTAAACCCAACGCAACTCAACCCAAAGACTCTTCCATTAACCCAAAGACTTCCATTGACCCAAAGACTATTCCATTAACCCAAAGACTTTTCCATTGTCCCAAAGACTCTTCCATTGACCCAAAGACTCTTCCATTAACCCAAAGACTCCTCCATTGATCCCAAGACTCTTCCATTGACCCAAACCCAACCCAACTCAACCCCAGGCCCCTCCCACTGACCCAAAGACTCCCCCACTGATCCCAGCACTCTCCCATTGGTTCCAACCTCAACCCCAAGCTCCTCCCACCGTCCCCGAGCCCCGCCCCCGACCTGAGGTCGCGGTCGCGCTGGGGCCGGTCCTGCAGCAGCCAGAGGAGGTCGAAGCGCGAGAGCAGCGCCGCCGGCAGCTGCAGGTTGTGCTCCAGGCTGCGCCGCGGGTCGTAGCGCCCGAAGGCCGGGTTGGCGGCGGCCAGGACGGCGCAGCGGGCGTTGAGCGTGGCCACCACGCCCGCCTTGGCCACGGCCACGCTCTGCTGCTCCAGCGCCTCGTGCACGGCCACGCGGTCGCCCTCGGTCATCTTGTCGAACTCGTCGATGCAGCACACGCCGCGGTCGGCCAGGACCAGGGCGCCGCCCTCCAGCGCCAGCTCGCCGCTCTGAGGGTCCCGCAGCACGGCCGCCGTCAGCCCCACGCCCGAGGAGCCGCGCCCCGTCGTGTACTGGCCTGGGGAAAATGGGGAAAAATGGGGAAAATGGGTAAAAATGGCAAAAACCAGCAAAACAATGGGAGAAAACGGCAAAGAAATGGGTAAAAATGGGTGAAAATGGACATAAAGGGGTCCCCAACACGGCCG